AATATCTCTTATTCTAATTTTTTGTGAGAAATATAAAACCTAACCCCTGATGTGTAAAGAGCAAAGGGAGTCCTAGGAAGCTTCTGGCTTCAATGTCATTTGTCTCAATATGGGGAGGCTGCCCAACTTCAACAGCATTACTGAGGGAGGATGGATATAAACTGTACACATGTGAAGGGTAAGACAGAAAAACCATCACTACAGTCAAGTTAACCAAGCATATATACCCCAGAAGTTTCCTCCCACCCCTTTCTCATTCCTCCTTCCCAGCCTCACCCTGCACAGCAACCACTGATTTTTTTTTTTTGACATGGAGTCTCGTTCTTGCCAGGCTGGAGTGCAGTGGCGCAATCTCAACTCTGCCTCCCAGGTTCAAGGGATTCTCCCGCCTCAGCCTCCCGAGTAGCTCGGACTGCAGGCGTGTGCCACCACACCCAGTAAATTTTTGTATTTTTAGTAGAGACAGGGTTTCACTGTGTTAGCCAGGATGGTCTCGATCTCCTGACCTCATGATCCGCCCACCTCAGCCTCCCAAAGTGCTGGGATTACAGGCATGAGCCACTGTACCCGGCCCACCAATTTCTTTGTTACTACAGATTAGTTTGCATTTTCTACAGGTTTATTTATTAGGTTTATTTTTCACATTTGGCTTTTCTCCAGTTTTTGGCTATTAAAAATAAGGCTGCTATAAACATTCATATACAAGTTTTTGTATGGATATATATTTTTTTCTGGATAAATACCTAGGAGTGAAATGGCTGGATCACATCTGTGGTAGGTATACACTTAACTTTTTAAGAAATGCCAAACTGGGCTGGCATGGTGGCTCATGCCTCTAATCCCAGCACTTTGGGAGGCTAAGGTGGGCAGATCACAAGGTCAGGAGTTCAAGACCAGCCTGGCCAACATGGTGAAACCCCCGTCTCTACTAAAAATACAAAAATTAGCTGGGTGTGGTGGCACACACCTGTAAACTCAGCTATTCAGGAGGCTGAGGCAGGAGAATTGCTTGAACTCAGGAGGTGGAGGTTGCAGTGAGCCAAGACTGTGCCACTGCACTCCAGCCTGGGCAACAGAGCAAGACTCCATCTCAAAGAAAAAAGAAATGCCAAACTGTTTGCCAAAGCAGTTGTACCATTTTACATTCCTACCAGTAATGTATGAAGGTTCCAGTTTCTCCACATCTTCACCAACAGTTGGTATGTTCAGCCTTTATATAATTCTAGTTATTCTGTGTATGAAGTGGTATCTCACTATTGTTTCCATTTACAATTCCCTAATGACTAATGATGTAGAGCATCTTTTCATATGCTTATTTGCCATCCTTTTGTCATCTTTGTTGACTTCTGTCCATTTTAAAAAATGGCTTGGCTGGGCATGATGGCTCATGCCTATAATCCTAGTACTTTGGGAGGCTAAGGCAAGTGGATTGCATGAGCCCAGCAGTTCGAGACCAGCCTGGGCAACATGGCACAACCCCATCTCTACTAAAAATACAAAAAACTAGCCAGATGTGGTGGCACGTGCCTGTAGCCCCAGCTACCCGGGAGGATGGCTTAAACCCAGGAGGTGGAGGCTGTACTCCAGCCTGGGCAACAAAGAGACCCTGTCCAAAAAAAAAAAACAAAACCTACAATGAAACCCACTTCATACCCATTAGGATGGCTATTAACCAACAAATAGAAAACAAATATAGATGTGGAGAAATTAGGATTCGTGTACACTTCTAGTGGGAATGTAAAATGATGCAGCCTCTGTGGGAAACAGTAGGGCAGTTCCTCAAAAAAAATTAGAATTACCACACAAGCAATTCCATTCTGGGTATATATCCAAAAGAACTGAAAGCAGAGACTCAGAGTTGTACACCCATGTTCACAGCAGCATTATTCACTGTAGTGAACAACTCAACTATCCACCAATGCACGGATGAATAAAATGCAGCACACACGTACAACAGAATCTTAGCCTTTAAAAGGCAGGAAGTCCGGATACATAAGCTACATCATGGATGAACTTGGAGGACATGCTGCTAAGTGAAATAAGCCAGTCATGAAAAGACAAATACTATGGGATTACACTTACATGAGGCACTTACAGTAGTCATAGAAACAGAAGGTTAGGACTGTGGTTGCCAGGGGCTGGGGAAGGGGAGAGTGGGGAGTTAAGTGTTTAATGTGCAGAGTCTCAGCATGGAATGATGAAAAAGTTCTGGAAATGCATAGTGACGGTTGCCGCACAGTAAATGCATATGTCACTGAACTATGAACTTAAAAATGGTTAAAAAAATTTTTCTCTTTTATTGAACATACATTTTATGTTCAGTATATTTTACCACAATAAAAAAGAGAAAAAAAAAAAAAACTTAAAGACTCCATGGGTGGGAAACATTTGCTAAACCACAGACACACACATGCAGAAATACAATTTAACCATAAAGAAAACTACTGATGTTAAACTTACTTTATCAAAATAAGTTAATACTTGTAAAGCACTTTGACCCTTACCTGGCATGGAGTAAGCATCACCTAAGTATCAAACAAAAATTGGTAATACCAGGAGAGACTGGTATTGAAACAACAAACTACACGGTAGCAGTAGATACTCTGAATACTAACTCTCAAAAGACTTGGATCTGAAATAGCCAAAAGAAAAATCACTAAGGAAAATACAGAACATTTTGAAAGGCCAGAAAACTTGAACAGGCACTTCACAACAGAAAAACTACAAATGGCCAAGAAACATATGAACTCTTCACCTCAAGCAATCACCCCACTTAGCCTCCCAAAGTGCTGGGACTACAGGTGTGAGCCACCATGCCAGCCATCCAATACACAAATGAAAAGCTACTCAACCTCATCAGTATTCAGGGAAATGCAAATTAAAACCAGTGTGCATCTACCTGACATTTCAGCCACAGTAAACACCACCCTGCTGGTGGAAAACAGTTATCTAGTAAAATTAAAGGTATCCCTTGACTTAGCAATTCAACTCAATGTTCTGCAAAGGAACCTGTGCACGTGTGCAGAAGACTGCTCAAAAGTATTATGTGGAATGACCAAAATCAGAAACAAAATGACCATCAACAAAACCGTATCACTTGAGGTATTATTCATACAACGGAACACCATATAGCATTAAAAATGAAAGAACTCCAGGACCCAACAAGGATGGATCACACAATGCTGAGTGACAAAAACGACACAAAAGCGCATATACAGGATTCCATTTATCTAATACTCAAAAGCAAACACAACTATGTTGTATAAGGATGCATGCAAGGCTGGGAAAATTCAAACGAAAGCAGGAAAGTGACTGACAAAGGAAGATGACCTGGAATGTGCCCCAATCTCAGCTACACATCAAATTACCTGGGGTGAGGTGGGCGGAGCTTTGAATCTACCAGTATCTAGGCCACACACTCAGAGGCTCTGATTTCATTGTTTCATTGATTTCATTGTTTCATTGATGCTGATCTTAGGCAGCAGAGTTTTCAACTTTCTCCAGGTGTTTCTAAAGTGCAGACAATTTTAGGATGGTGCTTGAGGGTGAAAGGCAGAACTGTGATGGGAAGGGGCAAATACAGGGCCCTTGGGGTGCAGGCAATGGTTTTCCTTGACCTGAATGGGGGGTTTCACAGGTGTTGTATACACATATACATACACACGTCAGCTCTTCCCTTTCTCCACAGCATACACGTAGGTGTTCCAGGGCCCACAGGTGACAGCCTTTACTTGGAGTTGCTTATCTACAAAGTATTCCACACGGCGGGGCCAATCCAAGCTGGTGGTGTCCTCGTGGCCCAGCTGTCCATATTTACCTAAAGTGAAACCAGCCCCTTTGCCATAGTTTCCACTGGGTCTTGCTGCTTCTTTCCCTCCAGGAAGGGGTCCAGACTATCAAATGAGGTGCTGGGATTATGCCCCACTGCTCTGTGACTCCAGGAGACCCACAGCAAGGCAAACTTGGGTATCCCCAAGAGGCTAGTGGCGACCAGCCACTCCAGGCAAGATGCTCCTCCAGACTTCCCTGCTACCCAAGCTAAGATGTTCAGAGCACACATTTCCATCATACCTTTTTATCCACCCAGTGTCACATCCACAAAAAGCTGCTTTGTAAATGCTGGTTGGATACTCCCTTAAGACAGTCTTTCAGAGAGGTAGGCAGGTGGTACCGATATCCTCTCCATGTCTCCCCTGTCTGGTCTCGGACTGAGTGTGCCTACGTCTGTTCCAACCCCAGGGAGGGAGCAGTCCTAGTCCTCCCAGTGACCTGGCCGAGGCCCCTGCTTCCTCTAGTCTTGGTGGCTCTGTCACCTGCCCTATACTCCCAGGTCTTTCTTCCCCTTGGTTTCATGGTCACAAAAACAATCCTTTTACTTACCCCAGCCCCAGGTGTAGAGCTCCCCTGTTCCTGAAAGCAAAAGAACAATCAATAGTTGTCACTACTGTTCTTTGGCAAGGCATTTATCCAGCCTGGCTTGGCACAGCCCACCGCTAGCACATTACAATCGTCATGAGATGTGCCTGGCGTAGGACAACATATTCTCAACAACTGGCTGATCACGTGGCATGGCAAAGGATCCCAACGGAAAAAGTGGCGGATCTTCCTGTGTGCCCCAACTACCGAGCGCCACAATCTTCCTCCATGCTGGACTGGACAGACCCTGCTGTCAGAGGTGGCGGCGGACAGGGAATGTGTCTGTGGCCATGTACGGAGGACAGAGAGTATCACCCTCCCACCAGAAGGAAGAATCTTCTGAGCTTGACAGGCTGGGGAACTACTGTGAAACAACATGGGGGTTGGGGCTTATCCACTGAGCAAGGTAGCCGCTCTGTATGAGCCACAGAAGCCTTATAACAGAAGTTTTTCCGTCAACCACACCCCTTTCCACAGCAGCTCGAGTGGCGTGGAGTGCCTTCCTGCTCCATCCTAAACCAGCCTCCCAGCCCCACTCACGTGTCACCACAGCTGTGTGCCGGGATCCACAGCTGACCTTGACTGCATCTGAGCCCAAGGGGAGATCCAGTAATGCTGGGAAGGGCTGGACAGCTATGAAGGGGGCAGGGGCTCCATCCTCAACCCGGCCCGTTCTCTTCACCTGAGAACCATCTTCATTCAGTCCTGTGGCTTTAGAATTATAGTAATAATGATGTGAACGCCAACTGAGACCTGAGCTAAACCTTATTCACGCTGTCACTTATTACCACAACAGCTCTGAGGCACATGACTGTCTAGCTCCAAATCTGGTGCTCCCAACCCCTACATTCTACAGGCAGGGTTGGCACTACCGCACAAGTGTGTTGTGCCAAGACCGGCATCAGCCTTGCCAATGCTCCCTCCCGTAGGGGGCTCACATGCTCCATCTGAGCAGTGTAGCTCTGAGGCCAGCATACAGCCAGGAGTTAGGAATGACAGCCACATCCTGGGGAGACAGCTGTGGGAGCCGAGTTGACCCTCACCTTCCCTTGCGACAGTCTCTCCATCCTCTGCCAGGTTCCTGGTGGGCAGGGCCAGCTGCCCCGATTCATTCCAGCCCCAGATATAAATATCCCCAGTCTCTGAAAGACATCAAGGGGACACGTGAAACAGACTGTGAACCCCCTGCATACACCCAAACTCCCTTCCCCATCCCATCCGCTCATGGGGACAACTAAAGCCTGCCCTGCCCAAGGCAGCACTCCAGGCCAAGGTGCTTCCTCTCAGGCCCCAGGGTCTTGTCTTAGGTTCCCATCTCCCTCAATGCCTTCAGATCACCCTTTAAGGCCCTTAGTGGACCTTCCACTTCCATTCTTATGCTGCCAAATTGCCCCGCATTTTAGAAACGTATCCCTGTAAGTGCCACAGTGGTCTCCCTTTCAAAACCACAGGGCCAGGGCCAGGTGTGGTGGCGCATGCCTGTAACCCAGCACTTTGGGAGGTTCAGATGGGTGGATCACTTGAGCTCAAAAGTTCCAGACTAGCCTCAGCAATATGGCAAAATCCCTCTAAATAAATACATAAAACCACCACTGGGCCGGCCTGTGCCCCTTTTTCAACTGCACCCGCAGCGGTCCTGTTGAAAGCCATGTACAGCTCTCCCCTTCCTGGCCTCCCACAACACTAGAGCTTTTTGGTTGGAACAGCTGCCTAATTCTAAAAATTTCTAATAGCTGATTTTATGAAGTGCTTAATCCATGCTGATGTTTCATGTGCTTTTCAAATATAATCACTTAATTCTCACAATAGCCCTACAGGTAGTTTTATGACAGTATCGCCATTTACGCAGGATCCCTATTTTATTCATGACACAGAGGGGTTAAGTACCAGGCCCAAGGTCCCAGGGCCCCAACAATGATCTGAAACTAGGAAGTCTGGCGGGATGCGTCCATGCTTCAATCTCTACACTAAAGGCCTCAAACTCCTTCTGGGCCTTGAGTGCAGGGCGTCTCAGTGGGTTGTTTCCAGCCCTCTGGTCTCTCTTCTCTCCAGCCCAGGGTTTGTTTGTTTTTTTCTTTGAGATAGTCTCACTCTGTCACCCAGACTGGAGTGCAGTGGCGTGATCTTCGCTCACTGCAACCTCCGCTCACAGCTCAAGTGATCCTCCAGCCTCAGCCTCCCAAGTAGCTGGGACCACAGGCACGAGCCACCACGTCCAGCTCATTTTCATATTTTGGTACAAAGATGAGGTTTTGCCATGGTGGCCAGGCTCAGCCCACAGTTTCCTGAGCTTGGCAACCAGCCCAGGCTGGTTCCATGAGAATATGGTGCCAGGGAAGGCTTTGGTATTTTTTTTTTTTTTTGAGACTGAGTCTCACTCTGTTGCCCAAGTTGGAGTGCAATGGCATGATCTCGGCTCACTGCAACCTCCACCTCCCGCATTCAAGCAATTCTCTTGCCTTAGCCTCCTGAGTAGCTGGGACTACAGGCACATGCCACCACGCCCAGCTAATTTTTGTATGTTTAGTAGAGATGGGGTTTCACCATGTTGGCCAGGATGGTCTCCATCTCCTGACCTTGTGATCTATCCGCCTTGGCCTCCCAAAGTGCTGGGATTACAGGCTTGAACCACTGCACCCAGCAGGCATTGGTAGTTTTTTGTTTTTGTTTGAGACAGTCTCACTCTGTCGCCCAGGCTGGAGTGCAGTGGCACGATCTCGGCTCACTGCAACCTCCATTTCCCAGGTTCAAACGATTCTCCTGCCTCAGCCTCCCGAGACTACAGGTGCACACCACTGCGCCCAGCTAATTTTGTATTTTTTTTTTTTGAGACGGGGTTTCACCATGTTGGTCAGGCTGGTCTCGAACTCCTGACCTCGCGATCTGCTCGCCTTGGCCTCCCAAAGTGCTGGGATTACAGGCGTGAGCCCCTACGCCCGGCCCCCCTGGCATTGGTAGCTTTTTAATATTCCAGGTAATCTAAGTAGCAGCCAGAATTGAGCGCCCCGGACACAGGCAAAGATCATCTGTTCCCAGCCTCATCCTCTCTGCATGGACTCTTAACAGCCTAGGAAGGAGTTGCACCTGGATCACCAAGTGAAACTCCTCACTCCGGCCAGCTGTGGCATCATCACAGGGACACACTCATCACCATCCTGGTACCTGCTGGGCACCCCAGTGTCCACTCTGTGCCACATGTCATGGTCCCCTAGGCAACTGCAGCTTTCTCCCTTCTCCTTGGCTCAGCTGCCCCTTCACACTCCATACTCCCTCAGGAGCACTGTTAAAAGACAGTCCTCACTGGTAGCAGGTGGGGAGAGGAGAGGAGGGGCAGTGAGACCAGCAACAGAGAAGCTAGGAACAAACTTCAGAGTCCAGGTGTGAGTGGGCGATGGTGCAAGCAGAGAAGGCCGAGGGTGAGAGGTATTTAGGAGTCATAACTGACTGGCGATGGATGGATGAATTTGGAAGGAGGCCTGGGTAGGCCACCCACCCAAACCGGAAAACGAGGAGGAACGTTTGCACAAGATCATGAGCTCGTCTGGAGAAGCACTAAGTCACTCACCACTCACACACACAGAATGCCAGCCCCCCGCGGCCACCTCAGCCATGGTTAGGCCCTGCAACGCCTCCAATAGCCGTGGCTCCAGCTCTGCCTCCAGGGTCCCGTGGCCCAGCTGTCCATGCCTAAGCAAGGGAGACCCTCGTCAGCTACAGTCACATTAAGGGGACCCCCTCCGCTTGCTTCTCCAATCACCAGCCCTCACCTGCCCCCGGCCCCGCTCACCTGCCCCCGCCCCAGGAGAACACCTGACCAGCCGCGTCTAGCAGCAACGCGTGCTCGGCGCCCAGCTCCAGCTGGCGCGCCCGCAGCTCCGGAGCCAGAGGCCGGTAGAAGGGAGGCCGCGGGCTCACGTAGGCACGGGCGCAGGGCAACAGGGGTAGCCTCCCAGTCTGGGCCTCACCGCCCGGATCGTCTTCCTCTACGGCCTCGGGCACCACATTGTGGGCCCACAAGGGCTCCCCACGCAGCGCCGAGTCGGGCGCCCAGGCCTGCAGTAACGCCTCCGGCCCCGGCCCAGCGCGCAGCACCAGGAGGAGCCCCTCTGAGGCCCACGCGTCCCTGCAGCCGCCCGCCGCGCCGCTGGCTGAGCCCGACAGCTCCACGCGGCCTCCACCTGCCGGGCGGAGAGAGGGCTAGGGAGGGGAAGGGACAGGCACCGAGGGCCTAGAATTGGGGGCGGCGCTGGGGGCTGGTCTAGATTGGGGCAGGGTGGCCAGAATGGAGGCGGGGTCGGGGGTGTTCCTGGGAAGGGGCCGAACTGGGGACCAACCCAGAATGTGGGGCTGGCGGCCTGAATGGGGAAGACACCCTGGAATGACCACAGCGGTGAGGGGAGGCGACTGGAGAGTGCTGCTGGAATAAGTGGGGACGGGGCGGGGAGCGCTCACGAGTCACGAAGGCGGTGTAGCTCCAGCTCGCGCTCACGCGGCAGACGTCGACGCCCGCCCGCAGAGGACTAGGGCTGTGCACCTGGTGCCCGCGTCCGGAGCCCAGCTCCTGCCCGAAGCCGCAAAAACCGAAGCCGAACCAGGCCCCTGGCCGCTCCTCCGCCATGCCCCAGCAGCGCGCTCTTCAGTCCGCCACCTGGCTGCGGCGGGCCCAGGGAGATTCTTGTAAAGAGCCCGCTAGTGGGACACTGGCAAGTCTCTGGCCTTCCAGGGGCTGGAGTTGCCTTATCTATAAAATAGCGAAACTATCATTCTCCTAACCACAAAGGCAGAGGCCGTGCCACAACGTTTCGCTGAGCAGGCGCCCTAGCTAATGCCCCACCGGATTTACAAAGATTCTCAAATATTTAGTGAGGCACTTTCCCTGTCCTCCCTTTTGGCTCAAGCTCAGCGTGCCACAAAGTGGGTACGAAGTGGCCTGTCCTTTAGGCACTGGACTAGGATCCGAGCGCCCCCAACACCCCCACCCCGTCCCGCAGCTTCCCAGCATCTGGCACTTTATCCCATGTAATCTTAGGAACCAAAATGGTCGTTTTACAGAAGCGATTCCCAGAGAAAATAACCCTTACACACTCATAGCTAGACAGAGACGGGCAGAGGACTGAAATCAGGTCCCACGAACTCCACACACAGTGCCCTGCCCCTCACCCCACAGTGGAACGCAGAAGAGTGTTTGGGAGGCAGTACCTCTGCAACTTAGCGGGGCCTTGTGACCTTGGCCAATTAACCTGAGTCCAGTTGCCTTTCTTCAGTTTACAAAGGGAAGTGGGGGCGGTGCTGTTTGAACCTACCTCACAGAGTTGTAATAAATGCAAATAAAGGGTTTGGTGCGAGTACATGCCATGATAAACACACAGTATGAGCTTACTGAATCCAGTATTTAGCGTTGACAAAAAAATTATCCCTGGACATCTTGTTGGTTTTGAGAAAGTTATACAGACACGATTTCAACTGTACCTTATCTAGTCGTTTATTCGTCCAGCAAGAATTTACTGAGCGCTCCCCCTCTGTGCCAGTGAGGACAGTTGTCTGCTCCCAAGGAGCTAATCCTTAAATGGGGAGACAAACACAGTCTGACGGTTACAACAGCAATGCCACTTCAAGCAGATTCGGCTGGAGCAGGTTTTTTTGTTTTTGTTTTAATTATTTATATAATAAAGACAGAGGTCTCGCTATGCTGCCCAGGCTGGTCTCGAACTCCTGGGCTCGAGCGATCCGACCACATCGGCCTCCCAAAGTGCTAGGATTACAGGCGTGAGCCGCCGCACCCGGGCTGAAGCAGAATTGCACTGGCATTTTCAGGCCTCTGAAGTCAGATCTTGGGTCTCTCCTGCGACCCCAGTTCCTGGGCTCCTAACCCCTTCCGTGTCCTCTCCCAACCTAATGGGGCCTCTGACCTTGATCTTGACCCTATGCCCTCCACCCTCTTGGACAGGTCCTTCTGGTGGGCAGCCTTGGAGGAAACGCCGAGCCGCAGAGCTGCCGCCTCCGAATAGGCCTCCCGCCCAGCGGGCGCCGACAGCCACGGGGAGAAAAGGTATGAAGGGCGTGCGACGCGAGGCGGCCAATCCCCGGCAAGGGCGGTGACGTCGCTGCCCGGGGCGCTACGGCCGCAACCCTGTTCACCTCCCTGTGAGGGCCGCTCTGGTCCCAAGGCCTACGCCGGGTCTGTGAAATGGACTGAAACCTCCGGGAGGCGTTGGACCAAGGCAGAGGTTGGACCAGGTGGTCCCGTCCCTGCAAGAACCCGGGGGGATAGAGCTCGGATTAGAACCGCCGAGAGGACATTCATTAAGACCCGAGCTAAAGGGTTGACGAGGAGTGACCCCCAAGACGGGCGGACCCCGCCACCCACCTCAGTCCGGGACCGCAGCAGCTCAAAACCAGACCCGCGGCGGACAGATGCCCAAACAGGAAGCAGCTTTTACCTTCCACGGATTGGCTCAGGACCCATCACGTGCCCCTGTCGAGCCAATGAGCCTCACGCTGGGCTTACCCCTCCTTGAAACAGGCTAGGGTGGTGGGCGCGGCCCAAACCGTCCTTCAACCAGGCTCAGCTGGCCACCAATCCCAACCCCCAAGCGCCCTCTCCGCAGAGGCCACAGACGACTTCCAATATAAAGACAAAAGTGTTGAAGGCCCAGCATATGGGAGGCTGTACCCTAAACGATTTATTAGGATAGTTTAATATTTTTTGAGATAGGGTCTGGCTCTGTCGCCCAGGCTGGAGCGTAGTGACACAATATTGGCTCACTGCAGCCTCCTCCTTCAGGTGCAAGCCATTTTCGTGCCTCAGCCTCCCGAGTAGCTGGGATTACAAATGCACACCACCACACTCTGCTCATTTTTTGTGTGTGTGTGTGTGTGTGTGTGTTTTTAATAAAGAAAGGGTTTTGGCCGGGCGCGGTGACTCAAGCCTGTAATCCCAGCACTTTGGGAGGCCGAGACGGGCGGATCACGAGGTCAGGAGATTGAGACCATCCTGGCTAACACAGTGAAACCCCGTCTCTACTAAAAAATACAAAAAACTAGCCGGGCAAGGTGGCGGGCGCCTGTAGTCCCAGCTACTCGGGAGGCTGAGGAAGGAGAATGGCGTGAACCCGGAAGGCGGAGTTTGCAGTGAGCTGAGATCCGGCCACTGCACTCCAGCCTGGGCAAGAGAACCAGACTCCGCCTCAAAAAAAAAAAAAAAAAAGAAAGAAAGAAAGGGTTTTGCCATGTTGCCCAGGCTGGTCTCAAACCCCTGACTTCAAGTGATCCACCTGCCTGTCTCCCAAAGTGCTGGGATTACAAGCTTGAGGCACCACGTCTGGCGAGTTTCTTATTGATTAGCTTCCTAGGCTTACTCTTTGTCCCTTCAATAGGATTAAGAAGCAACTCATTGGGCCCTGGTTGGGGAATCCACTGGATTCCTTCCATGGAGGTGGCTTTGCCACTGTGAAGCTCCATTGCACACTCACCCACGCCCAGCTCACACCCATACTCATCCACACTCAGAGACTCCCACCCACAGCAGCCCTCCCTGCCCAAGGACAGGGCACACAGTGGAGTACTACACACTTTTATTGGAGGGGCAGGCCTGATAGCAGGCTCAGGCCACGCTCATAGCTGGTGAGGCTGCTGATGTGTGTGCCCTTCCGGATGCCTCAGGATCCACAGGCTGTGTTGGGATGCACCTTCCCCATTCCCAGTTGACTACAGTAGTACAGAGAAAGGGCCCCTCGCAGTGAGGCTGCAGGCAGTGCTGGCCAAGCAGGGCTGTGTGACTGAACGTGGCCGCTGACTCAGAACAGAGGACATCCTAGGGCAGCAAGCGAGGAGGGGCGAGAGTATTGGGCATGCCAGCCACCACCAGCCAAAGCTGCTTCTGTCCTTGCTGTCTGTGCCACAATAGGTAGCATGTGCATGAGCCTTGGGCCCAGGGACAGCCCCCTCACTCTCCATCTTGGTTGGGTTGGATAAGCCCATATTCCACTGCTTTGTCCAGGCAGGCTGCAGCAGCCCTTGTGACAGGGCTCTGGTCACCCTTAGCTAGCACTGACAAGATCTCCATCATCTCACTCTCCATCAGGGTGCTGGCAATCTGCCTTGAGGCCTCCACCATGTTCAGCACCACCACGGCACCCCGGTGCTGCAGCTCCCGGTTAGAACTCAGAAGCAGGGCCTGCAGGATCTCCAGCCAGTGTGTGGTCTGTGAGAAACAGGGTAGATATGACCCCCAAGCAACAGGCTCAAACTTGGCAAGGGACACACCCACACACCCTAGGACTGTCCCCTTCAGCTGCCACCATGCTGGGAGTTCCTGGTCCATCCCCACTCCCCCACTGAGAAGAGGCACTGACCACTTGGGGAATGCGGCTGCAGAGCGTGGGCCGCATGGAGGTGAGCATGGCCAAGCCCCCGGCAGCCGCCCGCTGTAGCAGCTCATCATCCTCTCCACTGTACAGCACCAGCAGCTTCAGCCGGTCATTGCCCTGGGCTTCGAAGAGGTCCTGCACCTGTGGCCAGATGTGGGGAGTGGACCAAGTCAGCTGGGTGCAAAGGCCAGCCAGGGCACAGGTACCTCTGCATCCCCACCTGTCATGAGCACCTGGATCAACCCTTACCTCCTTGCTCATGGCCAAGTTACACATGCACTCTGTGGCTGCCCGGCGGATCATCTCATGCTCCTCAAACATGTAGCCTTCTATCATGGGCACAGCCTTCTCCTTCAGGATCTTCTGCCTGCAGGGCCACCGGAGGGAGCAGCAGGGATACAGTTTGGATGTTGTCCTTTCTAACCCTAATGTTGAACTGTAATCCCCAGTGTTGGAGGTAGGGCCTGATGGGAAGTGACTGGGTCATGGGATGGGTCCCTTATGGCTTGGTGCTGTCCTCGTGATAATGAGTTCTCATGAGATCTGGTTGTTTAAAAGTGTGTGGCATCTCGGCCGAGTGTGGTGGCTCACACCTGTAATCCCAGCACTCTAGGAGGCCAAGGCAGGCAGATGATTTGACGTCAAGAGTTCGAGACCAGCCTGGCCAACATGGTGAAAACTTGTCTCTGCTAATAATACAAAAAAAAAAATTAGCTGGGCGTGGTGGTGTGCACCTGTAGTCCCAGCTACTTGGGGAGGCTGAAGCAGGAGAATCGCTTGAACCCAGGAGGTGGAAGTTGCAGTGAGCCAAGATCATGCCACTGCACTCCAGCCTGGATGACAGAGGGAGACTCCATCTCAAAAAAAAAAAAAAAAAAAAAAGTGTGTGGCATCTCCCCCCACTGTCTCTTCCTCCTCCTTTCACCGGGTGACGTGCCTGCTCCTGCTTTGCCTTCTACTATGAGAAAAAGCTCTCTGAGGCCTCCTCAGAAGCTAAGCAAATGCTGATGCCATACTTACACAGCCTGTAGAACCATGAACCAATTAAACCTCTTTTCTTTATAAATTACCTAGTCTCAGGTATTCCTTTACAGCAATGCAAGAACAGACTAACACAGGCAGCATCATCAGAGTTTCTACATCCGCTCCACCCTTGCATCCACACCCTCATGCAATCAAGTCCTGGGCTGAGGATTTCTCTTGGCAATGTCCAAGGACCCTCTTGCACCAGACAGGAACTACAGTGCTTCTTAGCCTTCTAACCAGGCCTGGGAAATAGCATAGGATTGTGGAAAATACTCAAAATTAGGAGGCAGAAGACCAGGGTGGTTGTGATGGTGAGGCTAACGCCTAACATTTGAGGGTTTTTGCTTTTGTGTTTTTTTGAGGCAGGATCTCACTCTGTCACCCTGGAGTACAGTGGCTGGAGTACAGTGGCATGATCACAGCTCACTGCTGTAGCATTGATCCCCCAGGCTCAAGTGATCCTCCTGCCTCAGCCTCTCTAGTAGCTGGGACTACAGGTGCATGCCACCACACCTTGCTAATTTTTTTTCCAACTGTTAAGTTCAGCAGTACATGTGTAGGATGTGCAGGTTTGTTACATAAGTAACCGTGTGCCATGGTGGTTTACTGCACAGATCATCCCATCACCCAGGTATTAAAAGTCCAGCATCCATTAGCTATTGTTCCTGATGTTTTCCTTAATTTCTTTTTTAAATAGGGACGAGGTATTACTACATTGCTCAGACTGGCTTGAACGTCTGGGCTCCAGTGATCCTCCTGCCTCATCCTCCCAAAGTGTCGGGATTACAGGCGTGAGCCACCGTGCCCGGCCTCATCTGAGTATTTACCCTGACCAGGCACCTGGATCATCTTACTTAATCCTCACCATGGCCCTACGGTAAAGGTACTAGTGTGATCATCATCACTACTGTTCTGCAGAATAGGAAACGGGCTAAGTAATGAGTAATATGTTCAAAGTCACAGTTAGTAATAAAACTAAAACATGCTGGCCGGGCGCAGTGGCTCATGCCTGTAATCCCAGCATTTTGGGAGGCTGAGGTGGGCAGATCACAAGGTCAGGAAATCTAGAACAGCCTGACCAACGTGGTGAAACCATGTCTCTAGAAAAATACAAAAATTAGCTGGGCGTGGTGGCGTGCGCCTATAATCCCAGCTACTCAGGAGGCTGAAGCAGGAGAATCACTTAAACCTGGGAGGTGGAGGTTGCAGTGCGCTGGGATTGTACCACTGTACTCTAGCCTGGGCAATAGAGCAACACTCCGTCTCAAAAAAAAAAAAAACTAAAACATGCTGATATGGCACAATGCTAGGGGCCAGGTACCCATGTAGTAAGTACTTTTAAGTGTATTTTCTCATTTTATTCTCCTCATCACTATGCCATGAGGTAGGTACTATAATCATCCCATTTCACAGAGGGAAAAACTGAGGCAGAGCAGTTAAATAACTTGCCTGAGGTTACCCATTTGCAATCAGGGAAGCTAGGCAGTCTGACTCTAGAGTCTGCCATGCCATGCTGCCTCTCGGCCTGTCTCCTCCTCTCTAATGATGCAGAGGAGTCACTGTGAGGCTCACAGAAGCCAATGACCGAGGAGCATTTCCCACTGTGTAAACTGCTGTGGGGGATATTCCAAATCCTGATGCCTGGTCCAGGCCCCGCAATCCCAAGGGACCTTACCGGAGCCTCTCGCTGATCCCAGCCAGGTTTGTTAGGGCCATGAGCGCCTCGAAGTTCTGCAGGCCTGAGCAGTTGAGGTGCAGCAGGGAGACAAGGGGCCGGACCACCTCATAGATCTGCAACATGCACCCACCTGTCGGGTACTTGCTGCAGGCCCCACAAGCCCCACCAACCCTGCAGGGAGGAGCCCACCCCTAAGAGAGTACTGCTGTCTCAGGCTGTCCTCCCTGCCCCAGGGTTTGGCAAAGCTGAAACTTCCTGCTGGTCCCAAAGGGGAGCTACAGCCCAGCCCACAGGCCATCAGGGACAGAGGGAGTAGAAAGGACGGGGCAGGAAGATACGCACCCGCTCACCAGGGAAGGTCATCTC